TATATACACACACACATATCTTTGGCAATATGACCTTGAAATTTATCTAATACTAAAAAGCCCCACTGAATTTCTTTGGATTAGTATTTGTATTCTATATCTTTTTGTATCTTTTCACTTTCAACCCTTCTGTATTTTTGTATAAGGTATGTTCCTTACAAACACCATACAGCTGAGTTGCAATTGTACAATTCTGGGGCTTTAAATTGATATGTCTTGTCTATTTCCATTTAATGTCATTGTAAATGTGTTAGGTTTGAAATGTTATCTTACTATTTGTTTCTATTCCTTCTGGGTTTTTTTATTCTTACATTTTTCATCCTTTATTGTCTTGTCTGGATTATTTCATTTTCTGTTCTACTAGCTAGTTAGTGGTAATTTAATTAGTCTTTAATGGTTATCCATTAAACATAGATTAAACATGCATTTTTCAGCTTATTACTATCTAAAATTATCTAAAATCTGTACCTTTTCTAAACACAGGCAAGGAAAGGCCTTAAACTCTAAATTCATTTAGAGTACACAAACTCTAAATTTGTGTACTGTTGTCATATTTTATTTCTACATATATTTTAAAGCCAAAAATACTGTTACTATTACTTTAATATTTTTGCTCTTTATACTGTCATTAATTTCTTTTTACATTTCTGTTTCCATGTAAGGTCATTTATTTTCTGTCCACTTAACTTTCTCCAATATTTCTTTTAATGCTAGTATTAAATTATCTCAGTTTTATTTTCTTTTAGTGCTAGAATTAAATTATCTCAGTTTTTACTTGTCTAACAATATCTTTAAGTTTTCTTCTGTTTAAAATGTATTTTTGCCAAATATAGAATCCTATGTTGGCAATATTTTCTTCAGCCTTTAAAAATACATTAGCCTGTCGCCTTATGACTTATTTAGTTTTTGTTGAAAAATCAACAGGTCAGTTTTATTATCGTCCTTTTTAAGGCAATGTATCTTTTTTCTCTGACTACTTTGGGGATTTTTTTCTTTTTGTCTTTGTTTTTATTCACACTTTTGCTATAATGAAGCTAGACCTAATTTTCCTGTAATTTATCCTACTTGGGGGCTTGTAAACATCTTGAATCTGTGGTTTAATTTCTTGTCAATTTATAAAATTCTCAACCATGATCTCTCTGAATATTGCTTCTACTTCTAATTTCTCTTTCTTCTTGAACTCCAGTTTACATTATTTTTTGGCTGATCTCAAGGACTTCTCAAGTTCTTTTCTATATTTTTCTATCACTTTTTTCTTTCTGAGTTTCAATCTGTAATTTTTCTATAATTTCCTAGTTATTTTATTCTTTCTTTTTTCATAAATCCATTTACTAATTTCTTAATTTCAGTTTCTGGTATTTTTTTAATTATAAAATTTCTAATTTTTATTCACTTATATGAATATCAGTTCTTAGAAGAAACTATCCACCTTTTTATTTATTTATTTTTACAAAGTAATCACAATATCTTAAAGCCAGTATCCAGTAACTCCAATATCTGAATAATCTGTGGGTCTACATTTGTTGTTTGTTTTATCATTTGATCCTGTCTCCTAATAACTGGCAATTTTTTATTGATTGGCAGGCACTGTGGATGAAAACTTGTACAGGCTTTTGCTATTCATCTTCCTCCAAAGAATATTTAATTTTCTTTTGTTAGGCAGTTAGAATATAGGTAGATGAACTTCCTTCCCCTCCAGATGCTGAAAGCCTAGATTTTAGGCTTTGAGTTAAGAATACATTTATTTAACTTTATTTATTTGTTTTTTTTAGTTTGACCAGAGAGGGACAGACTGAGAGAGAGAGAGAGAAAGGGAAAAAGAGAAAGCAAGTCACCAGGTCCAGGACTCAAACCGTGGTTGACCATGTGGGAGTCCAGCACCCCCAAACACCATGCCACTTGCTGGTCCCAAAATGACTCATTTTTAAAGCATATTACTAAGTTGTTTTGTTTTATCATTGAGTAAATCTTTACAATGCCCCAGCTCCATTAAAGTTAGAAAGCATTCCGTGGTCAATCCCAGCTCAGCTATGGCCAAGAGGATCACTTCTTAAGGATTTTCAATTTTGTAGATTCAGTTCTCAATGACAGACCAAGTACTCATGGAAATCATTTCTAGGTAATCTTGCTAGCAAGATCCTCTCAAACATATACCAAAAATGCTACCCTTGGTAATTTAGATATGCACCAATTTGGAGGTAATTTCTCATAGTGTTACATGCCCCTCTGTTACTGCTACTTTCCATAAAGATAATTCAGGATACCCAAATTCACTATTAAATGAATTATTGGAATAACACCTTCTAGACCACTGGTTGCTACCATGAAGCCTAGAATAACTAACATTATCTTCCATCCTGAAAGCATAGGAGTAGTTATAGTTTACCTGATCATCTTAGAAATATATGACTGAAACCTATACTTCTTCCCTGTCAGCTCTACTAAATAATCTCTTGAATATTTTTTTTCCTGAAACTATCAGCAATATGCAATCTATGACTTTCAAGTTTTTTTTTTCTTTAATTGCCAGAGGACATGTACGCTCACCAGAGAAAGAGACCACCAAAGGGGGTGTAGTCATGCCATAATTCTTTTTCCTCCATTTCTTCAATCTGTTGGGATTTGAGGGATCTGTGCACATGTGGATTTTAAGCCACAGGGTTTGAACATAGTTGGTCAGGTGAGATCTGGCTCGGGATGCATCGTACTTAACCACTGGACTGTAGGACCAGTTTATGTCTTTTCTGTTGTTATTGTTGGGGACAGAAGGGCAGGCCCAACAAAATGCTGCATTCTATCCAGCAATCCCTTTTTCCCTTGTTATTCACTAACAATATTACTGCATATGAACCTGGATACATTCTCTGGTTCATACTGGACCCCTGGAAATATCACGTTCTTATTTGGGGTATCTGGAAATGAATCATCAACACATAAAATACTCCTGCCTTGATGACCTCTGGTCGACATCACAGATTTCTGATTTCTTGTGTACTAGGAACTGGAATGTCCCAACCCAACCCGCAGGACAGTCGAACAGATTTCCTGAGGGAAGGAGTGAGAGACAGGATGAAAGGCGCAGTGTTACAACACGGAGATGACGCCGTGTTACAACTCTTCAGGGTAGTCCAGAGATCGTGGTTATGTACATGTTGGTGGGCGGTGATTAGTTATTAAAAGGTGGGTTATGATCAGTTGCTTTTGTGGACCAATCATGAGGTACCGGATATGCAAATCTGAGGGATTCTAGTGGCCAATCAGAGTATGGTTTTGAAGGTGAGGTTTTTGAAGGGGAGCCAATCATGGCCTTTGTCATTGTGTAATTGTTTGCTCTCTGAGCCTAAGATGGCAATAGTAAGAGACTCATGAAAATGGCCTCAGCAGACTCTCTGGTGTGCAGCCTCCCACACTGGAAATACAAAATATACTGATAAAAGGATTGCAGGGCCCTACACACTTTGGATATTATAGAGTCAATCAAACCAATGCTAACAAAGCATTTAGTTTCTTACATGTTTAATTTTTTTATTGTCTCCTCCAAGACTTGATACATAAAATCCCTTCTTATCTCAGCCTGATTCATTCCATGGATTTTTATGTTATGGTTCCCTCCTGAATAGCAACACAATTTTTTTTGTCTCTTTTTAACTTACTGTGCATCTTCCTCCTTCTCCAATACACATGTTAGCTATGATCATTTGGACACTTTTCTTTGCTTGCCAATTCTACATGTTTTAGACTCCACTTTGCAATAATTTTATTATATGTGGTGTTTAATATATACACTTTATATGATCTTCCTTCAGTTTATTCCTCTCTGCTTCACATTTAATTATTTTGAAATTGACTTTGTATAACCTCTTATAAATAATTTCCAAACGGTTTCTGGTCTCTCTAATCACAAGCTCCTTCTAATATGAAGTGTTCCTCCTAATTATGGCAATGTTTAAAAATAAATTTTGATAGAATCTAATTCTCTTTGAAAATGTGCACAAATTATGTTTAATAATAATTCTTTGTCCACATGTTTATTCATCTGATCTAATGAACCTTATTGATTGGTCAGTCAGATACCTTTTATCTTAATAAAGCTCTGTAACACAGATTATCTTTCTTAAGTACACAGTAATTGCTCAAGAGATAAAGTGTGTACCATTTTTCTTGGTAAGGAGGAAAGCCCTACCTACCTGATTTTCCAAGATTTCTTCAGGAGCCCAATCTATGCAAGAAGCCCACCAGTCTTCTGGGATAGTAATTATTGCAAATCAGGTTTCATAGTCTTGTCACCTTCTTGATAGTTTCCCCCTTGGGGCTCACTAAGTCTTAAAATAAATCTTATTCCATGACAACAAGTTATTCTCATGTAGATTATGGTTTCAGTCTAGAATATCCTGGGTATTTTCCACTGTTGGCTCTAATACTTCTTACTTATCTACATCAAACCTATCAAAAACTCTCCCAAAAGTCATTTTCAACCCAAAGGAGCCAATTCATTAGATAAATTTATTTTTTTATTTCTTATTTTCTCAAACTCATTTTCCAAACGCCCTTGAAATTTCACTTTTCTGTTTACTGGATTTGGTCTTCATTTCACTTACCCAGATGACTGATGGCCTCCTTGTCCCAAGGCCAGGTGGCAGCACCTGCAAGGTCTTCCCTTACTGAGCTGGCAAAGTAGACATTGAGAAAGTGGGTACTGTTGAGCTGCAGGGCCTCCTTCAGTTCCTTCACACTCATGTATGCCCTGAGAGCATGAAAGAAAAGAGAAATATCACTCCAAAGGATCAGTACTTCAAGAACAATGGAGTCAGACCTAATCAAATCTGTACACCGATGACACTTGCAGCCAGTACAGCCTTTGGGAAGACAGAGGGCAGAGATCAGGGAAGATCAGAAAGAAGGCATCAATATTCATTTAGAATACTTATTCTAAGATAAATAATGTCTTGCCTCTTTTAAATAATTTAATATATGTATGAGTACTCAATGCTTGCCATCATGCTCAATTTTCCTCTTGACATCCAGACTATTTCTTCAAGATAAATATAATGATACTACTAATTTTTTGACTTGAGACGTATCCCAAAGTTATGGTGAAAAAGCCTTCTAGCTTTCCATTTCTGGTTCTTTGCATCACATTGCATGATTCTTGTTATGATAGAAAGCCCTCTCTATTTCAGCATGTGCTGACTTCAGGCGTTACTTTTTAAAGGGGAAAAAAAAAAACGGAAGTAGAGGCTAGGAAACATAAAATAAAAGAGGTACGTTATAAGCAGAGGAGGGCATCATAAAGCTACTGCAGAGAATGGTAATTGTGTATGCATTTCTCTGCCCAGTGCTTTCGTCCACAGAAACTCAACTACTGCTCCCACCATTTCATGATACCTACTGAGTATCTTTATTGGTGGTCTTCAAAGCACTAGGAAGTATTATGTTTGTACTTATGCACAGAAGTAAGTCTATTAAAACCATATGTTCTGTGGCCCATAAAAAAAGGAAACAAGCATTTGGTCTCTTTATAAGCTCATATATAGTCAAAGACCTTCAGCTTCCTGGCAACAGTGAAACTTAAAACTTTACCATGAGCAAATAGAGCCTTACCATTCTTGCAGAAGAGTTATTTTAAAGAACAACTAAACCAGAGCCTAGCAGCCTCTTAGACTCACTAGAAGCTTCCTACAGTGGCCATGATCTGTCATTCCAAAGAGAGGAATGTTCCTCTTCCATCTTCAGCAGTGCAGACCTCTCCCTCTACATAGGACAGATATTTCCTTTACAGATTATGCATAATTGTTGCTCTTCTGGTAAACAAACTGCAGACACTGAACTCTCTCCACTCAGAAGCTCATGTTAGGACAATGACCCTTGTTCTCTTAATGGCTCTGCCTCCCAAGCAGGCTGTTGATGACATCTCTTTAATCTATGTTAGAAGGTGCTGGAAAAGAGTAACTAATAGAAGATGTCTATCTATATTTTTTAGAAAAAAAAAGTGAATAAAAATAAAGAAATATAAAAGATCTTGCTTTAGAACCAAAGATGCTTGGGAGAAAAGAGCTTTTATAATGCTATTTTTGATTTATAATATCTCAGAAAAAATAGTTCTCAGCTCCAATAAATCATCCAAATTCCATAAAGTGTTATCAGATGTGATCAGGGGATATTCCTTTTGCTGCTTTCCTGGAGACACAATATTTTGAGGCTGTCACTTGGTTTTCCCTAAACATCATTCACATTTTCTTTCCTTTTCTCCTTTATTAAAAATAAGTCAAATTTCATTTATTGACCAATGGATAGTTTAGGTAGTGATGTCATCAAGTGACTCTTCAACATGGGAATGTTTTAATAGGCCAGAAAAGAGAAAGATAAAGATAGAGAGAGAGAGAGAGAGAAAGAAAGAGAGAGAGAAGAGGGTAGAAAGGATGAGAAAGAGAAGATGATGAAAAGAAAAAGGAAAGAAAGAGAGAAAAGGAAGAAGGAAGAAAGAGAGAGAAAGAAAAGAGAGCAAGAAGAAAGAAAGGAAGGAGAAAGAAAGAAAGAAAGAAAGAAAGAAAGAAAGAAAGAAAGAAAGAGGAAGAAGAGAGAAAGAGAAGAGAAAAAATAGAAGTGAGAGCTGGTGACTGAGACTATGTTCAGCTCATACTAACAAATAAAGAAGTCCTGCTCTTTCTCTGTTCTTACTCCAGGGTTCCAATTAAAATTAAGAGTTGGTAACTTGACTGTTTTCTCTCTTCTCCTCACTTTCCTTCAGTCCCCTTGTGCCTGGCATGGTTTACTTGGGCTATCTGTGTGTTATTGACTTCTCTGTCTACCACTTAACAGTGTTGGCTGCCATCCTTCTGTCCTCCTTCAACCCAGCAGTTCCACTAATTCCTCTTGAGCACCCTCCAAAAGGCCTCCTCCTCCACTACCAACTTCATTAGCTGGTTCTACTCATCTCCCTTTTCTTCCTTGCCCAATCTTCTCTGTAGCCATAAATAACCATTCCAGATGAGAGTATTTATGTCACGCTGGTGGCAAACTGGATGTGGTTGCTCAGACTTCTGCACTTCACAGAGATATAGATAGAAGTCAGAAAGATAAGAAAAAAAATAGATTTTGAAACTCTAGAGACAGTTGGAAACAATCATTAATTGGATTTGTAGAGAAAATCCTTATTTTGCTAGAAACTTATTGTGTCCACATCATTCTCTAAACCAGAGAGTAAAAGTGTAGAGGTCAGTGTGTCTGCTCTATGTGTACAATGCCCTTCCTATTTTAACACATGTACCCAGTTTCAGAAGTTAACCAGAACTATTTAAGATAAATGTCTTAATTTCTCAATAAATGTGACCAAAGTCTGTCTCAGAGTTAGTGTGGGGAAAAATGGAAAGTATACTTAAATTCAGAGCTTAATATCTAGCTTCAGAAATGACTTATTAAGAGATAGATTCACCATCCAAATGAGCTGCATTTACATATGTAAATGCAATAAAATTCATATCATGAATTGACCAGAACTATGTATTAAAAGAGGATGAACTGCATTAATCTACTTAATTTCTGCAAGTACCTACCTTTACTTATGCTTACCACACTCTAGTTAGAGTTACTCATCATAATCTTCTCCTCAAAAGACTTTGACCAATCAAAGTAATGTTTCATTTTGATTTTTATAAAAACTGTCTCAGAAATAAGCTTTCTTTCAGCTGACATATCAAGTCATTCTGCTCCATTGTTCAAGCTAGTTATTTCTGATATGCATCACTAGGAGAATGTGCAGTTGCTTTACCATTCTACTGGTTTGGGATTTGCCATGGCCCAGTCTCCAGTTCACCATGTTTCATGGTCGCCCAAACTGATGGTTGTCACGCTTCCTGACTGCTGACCCCTAGCCACACCCGTGTCTCTAAGTGTATGTACAGGCCCCAACTCTTGCTTTGTTTCTGAATAAGCCAAAGTGTATAAAGGAAGACTCTTCGTACTCTAGTTCATTCATTAAGTAACTCCTTTATAGACTGATCGAAATAATTCAAGAAGGATACAGAAGAGAAGATTCTAAACTATACGAAGGAAGTTGAACCAGTATAAAGCATTGGCATGTTGAAAACAAAATATAAAGGATGAACGTGAAGCCTGAGTGTGAGTCCCATAACTGTACTTCCTAAAGTAGAGAAAATCCCCTCCACAGGAGATTCTGACTGCACTCCACAGGGAGTAAGGCAGTCTTCTCAAGAACAAAAACAGATGTCCCAAGAACCTTCAGCCAATTCCCCTCACAAATACTACTTTTGCTAAAATTGGAATATTTTCTTTTGGTTAAACCTACACCTTCCTGTCATGAATATAAACCAAGTTTCTCTACACAAAATATACAGAAGGATGCCTTCTGCCACCCACATCTGACCCACTCTGCCACCATGCTTTCTCCTGATGAGCATTTGACCTACTCTCTAAGCCACACCTTAAGGTTTATAAGGCCATGGAAGCACTAAATAATATTCTCCTTCTGCAAAGTAGAACTACAAAAACTCAGTTTTTCTCTTCTCATGTCAAATTCTTCCCATTTTTAGAACTGAACTCTACTGCATTACCATATGCTTTCACGTTCCTTTCATTTCCCTACCTGCTGGATACTCTATATACAGTAAGGTTTTCACCACCTGGTTACAGTCTTCCCCTTTGCCCAGTTCCTATTATCATCTGGGAAAATTTCAACATTTATGGGAAACATCCATGGAAACACAATCTTATTCTTGACTTCCTTACCTCAAATGTCCTTTGCTTCAATCCTCTTTGGCTATCCATTCTCAATGCCACTCTTACTCAGATTGATGTTTTTATTTCTTATCTCACTCAGGTATTACATTTCACATGTCTATGCTTTTACTTGTTATGATCACCTCCTCTCCAGGGACTATTTAAAATTTTGAATATTCATCTCCTGCTCCCTCACTTCAATCTCTTATTTCCTTAACTCTTAGCGGATGAGCATGCCTCCTTCTTTGATGATAAAATTGAGACCATCATCGTAAATTCCAGCACCCCCTCCCATAAACACACACACACACTTAACTTTATTTCCTATTTTTTTAACCTATTTTTATAACCTTTTCCTTGGTTCCACAGGATGAGATTTTATGAGCAATTCACAGTTAACACCCTCTCTTTTTTCTTCATCCTTTCCAATTCAAACTCCTTAAAAGAATAATTTCCTCATCTTCCATTTACTCCTTTTTTCCATGTACCTTTTAATACCATTATAGCCTGGTTCACATCCACACCACTTATCGAAATTGCATTTTTTAAAGTTGCCAGTGGCCTCTTAATTTTGCCTCCCCACAAAGTTTAAAACAAATAGTCATCCTCTCCTTGGGATTTTGTTGCATTTTGATACTTTTAGTCACTTCCTCCTTCTTAAAGCTCTCTACTTCCTTTGCTGTCACTGCAACATTCTTTCCTTGTTCTTCTGCTTCTGAGACCACCAGTCCTCAGCCTACATTATGGGTTCCTCTTCTCTCTTCTAATGCTTGAAGTTATTCTCCAGGGTCTTGTTTGTGGCCCCTTCTTTCCTTACTTTCCATGGTTAACATTGGGAATTCTACCCTTAAACTGTGGATCACTCTCACTATCTAGATAACTTCTAAATATATAAATGTAACTAGTCCTACCTCTCCTCCAAGATTAAATTGTTTCCCTCTAGAAATTGTGCATCTCTATCTGGTTCACCCACAGACATCCTGAAGTCAACAAGTCAATGAATTGGGG